TCTCAAGTGTATCTGAAATACAAACTTCTATTCTTTTTTCAAAGAAAAAATAAAATAAAATAAAAAACTAAGCAGAATAGGTGTTTTTTGTTTTTGTTTTTGTTTTTTGCCATAAGTAAAAATATCCACAGCATATTACCTTTCCAGGAAAACTACATTGGTTGAAGGTAATTAAATTTGATATGTGTCCATCAAGCTAAAGTGAATTGTTAACCTGAGACTAAAAGGAAAAAGAAGGGAGGAGGAAGCTTGCTTACTAATATAAGATAAATTTAAAGAGATTTTCTTCTGCAAACCCACATTCATACATATTATCATTATAACACATAGTATCATTATACCTAGGAAAATAGAGGGATTTTTACATTGTTGTAAACAGGATGCACTCATCAGCCTCAGGAGCCTCTTCTATTTGTAGCTTATCAGAAAATCCCTAAGTCAAAATTACTATTTTTCACTTCTTAGTTCTGTCACTTACTATTTGAGCAAGAGTATTTGAGGCAGGTATTTATCCTCCCTGAGCCCCAGATTTTTCATTGCAGGATGGGGTAATAGTTGCCATTATAGGGTTTAATCCCTAGTGTTACTAGGATTAAACATTGGTATAAATGCACATATACATCCAATTGGTTTAAATTTTTTTTTCAACGTTTATTTATTTTTGGGACAGAGAGAGACAGAGCATGAACAGGAGAGGGGCAGAGAGAGAGGGAGACACAGAATCGGAAACAGGCTCCAGGCTCTGAGCCATCAGCCCAGAGCCCAACGCGGGGCTCGAACTCACGGACCGCGAGATCGTGACCTGGCTGAAGTCGGACGCTCAACCGACTGCGCCACCCAGGCGCCCCTACATCCAATTGGTTTAGAAGAGTGCCTGGCACACAGGACACATCAATAAACGCCATTTTTGTCATTGGTATTATCGTTATATAGCCCTGTTTCCCCATTTGAAAAACCTACCTTAATTTTAAGGTCTTCTTTAGGGCTGGAAATGGGATGAAATTGACGAAGGCACACTTACTTCTATTAAAAAATGAAATTGTTGGCCGGGTCGCAGCAGCTCGAGAGACGGCAGGAGCGACAGCGGCCAGGCAGCCCAGCTTCGCGAAGGCTCTGGGCGTGCGGCGGACCACAGGCACCTGCACGCAAGGGCCGCGCCACCAGGATGCCCAGGAGGAAGGTCAATTCCCCCGAGGGGGCGGAGAAGGAGGAGCCCAAGAGGAGGTCGGCACGGTTGTCAGTTGCAAAACCTAGGGCTGCAAGAGTTGAAGCCAAAAAAGGCGGCGGGAAAGGATAAATCTTGAGACAAAAAAGTGCAAAGAGGAAAAGGGGAGCAAAGGGAAAACAGGTTAAAGTGGCTCAGCAAGAAACAAAATGACTTACCTGCAGAAAACGGAGAAACTAAAAATGAGAGTCCAGCCTCTGATGAGGGAGGAGAGAAAAAAGCCAAGTCTGATTATGGATCCCATGTCTTATCAGTGGCCACTGTCTGTCTCCCTTCCTGTACAGATCACAGGAATACTTTTATCAATTATTTTGTAAATCCAAGTTTTTTAGTAGCTCTAGAAACATTTTTAAGAAGGAGGGAATCCCAACTTAGCCCATTTTTTAAGTGTAAATGCTTTTTTTTTTTTTTTAGCAGTGAAGTCATTTGCTGGTTGTTTATTTTTTGGTACAACCAGGAAATAGTGGGATATTGAATATGGGAGGCTCTGATTGTCTTGGGTTTCAGTTTAACATTCCATAGATGGGGTAGTTTTTATATACTATAAAAACAAGCATCCTAAATGGCAATTTGGAGTCAGTCATGCATTTAATATGTCTTGAACATTTTAAATTATACTTCTATTACCATGTTGTTTTTGGTAGAATTGTTTCCTAAAGAAAACCACTCCTTGATCTTGGCTCTCCCTGTCAGAATTTTGTGAATTCTGTAACATTCTTGGTCATGGTAGTCCAGTTTCCTAGTAACTTTGTTAATGTGCTGTGCAAGATTAAAAACTTGAGTATGTAGTATATCAAATTGTGAATTAATGGGACTTAATGTAACAGCATATCAATATTTGAAGATATTGGTACTTGATATACTGTTAAGGAAAGTTTGGCTCCAAATTTTAAGCTGGAGGGTCACTGGCATAACTTAGAAAAGAATCACAAGTACATGATTTTTTAGATTTTTGGTACATACATTGAGAAGTGTATACAAGTTGAATTGTCGGTACTGATCCTCAGAACAACCAATAAAAACTGAATTATGAAAGAAAAAAATGAAATTGTCTGTAGTAGTTTTACTGAATTTTGAAAATGTCATCTCTTCATCTTCCTCTTTGTCCAATTTTAGCAGCTATCAACCCATCTTTGGATATAGTTGCTACACAATTTCATAGCCTGCATAACAGCAGGTCACTTTAATGAGAGCAAACATCTAAGCCAAGATAAAGTGGTTGTATGTTGGTCTACTAGCAACGAAATACATCCAATGGCAGCAACTCTTAGGAAAAGCTGGTTAGAATACAAAAATGGCTCAAGTTACTTTGTACATGATGAAGCCCAAATGGGAAATCTGAACTTCTCTCTGCTCATTTTCCTTCTTTCCTCTCCCTTCCTCAAAGCTGAGTATTTCTTGACAATGAGTGAAACATCAGAGGATTTAGAAGACTTTTGTTTGAAAACTAAGCCAACCTGAACGATTTACATACTAATTTTGACAGGTGCACCTGCATTTATCTTTTGGTTGAGAATGCCAGGAAATTCTATCCAACCAAATAAAGAAAGTAAATCCTGTAATTTTAGGTTCCAGTGCAGGTGAGTCATATTTAAACAAAACTCGTTTGTTAAACATACACCCAACTGAAAGTTGAGGAAAATAGAAGGGCTCCTATAAGATAGGAATTTTAAATGACAGTGCACTAAGTTCTGCCACATATCTGTATAGGCTACCCATTCACCTTCCAAATCATAGTTTACCTTGCTCCTTTTATGCTATATATGAACACTATCTGCCATTCCAAAATATATATGTTTTAGCCTTGAAAGTTTGTGGCAAGTGGCACTCTCCACTTGTGGAGAGGAAGTGTTCCATAGCTGTCATGGTCTGTGCATATGAAAACTTAGGTGAGTGAGGATACTCCATAGGACAGTCATCTGAATTATTGGGACCCCACACAGTTAAATTTTACTTTTATTTGGGTCTGTGATTAACTCTTGAATTCGTCACAAAGGGTATACCAAAATTTAGTCTTCGAAGAAAATATTGTGTATGTTTTCGATTGCCTGCCACGTGCCAGAAGATACTGTAGACCTCTCAAAATTAGATCACATACTTTTCAAAGCTGTAAGAGGGTAATATGACCGGTTCATGCATGGTGAAGAACTGATTACTCAGTAAAAATGGTGAATAAAAATTCCAGCAGACATGCAATAACCTTGAATGGATGCTCTGAGAGAAATAGCAGACATTTAATTAACTCGTCTTTCCCATCAAAAGCTATTATAAACATCATGATTAATGAGAAAGATCTGTAAGTTGGGGCTCTGTTTGTCACTCTAAAAACAAAAGTTCCAAGTTTCCAAGTGAGGGGCTTTACGGATTTTGTATTACCTTGTACTTTTAGTTCCTTTGCCTGGCACTTAGCAGGCAGTCCCAAGTATAGCAAAATGTTTTCTTTAAACGCTGCACCGCAGGTTTCCTTTCTTGAAGACTTCCTCTAAGATCTATTAATGTTCTCCTTGACCATTTTTTCCTAAAAGGATATTGCTTTTGACTCTTTCATTAAAGCTCCCTAGGGTTCCACATGACAGTGTGGTCTCCCTTACTGCAATGAGCTTTAGTTGGAACTTGTTTAACTAAGGTTGTGTTTCTGCCTGGAGGGTATCAACACAATTATGGGACCTTCTACCTTAACTGACAAGATCGTCTAGGCTAGAAAGAAAATTAATGAGAAATTGCAGTTGTTTTTAAAAATTTTTTTACTGTTTATTTATTTTCGACAAAGAGAAAAAAACAGAGCATGAGTGGGAAAGGGTCAGAGAGAGAGGGAGACACAGAATGTGAAGCAGGCTCCAGGCTCTGAACTGTCAGCACAGAGCCCGATGTGGGGGCTCAAAGTCATGAGCTGTGAGATTATGACCTGAGCCAAAGTCGGACACTGAAACAACTGAGCCATCCAGGTGCCCCAAGAAATTACATTTATTTGTTATTTTATTTTACAAATAAATAAAAGCAAATCAGACAATATACTGTAGTGTACAGAAAAGACTTTTAATATATTCAAATGATAATTTACTCATATTATATATATATATATATATATACACACACATATACTTATTACTACAATGAGAAAAGGTTTATAGAAAGGGGTTTTTAAGGGATAAATGTGCTTAGGTTTCTTTTAGATAAAGTATGCTTTGATAATAGTGGAAAATATTCAACATCTAGTCAATAACCAACCAAAGAAATATGGTCATGCTACCTCCAAAGGCAAAGACACCTGGCAAATCTTAATTATGCCACAAAAATCCAGGGGGTTATGTAAAAGAATTAAGGCATTTGGGGATTTCTCAAGTTCCAGATAACCACACAGAAAATGCAAGTCATGAGCTAAAGGATAATAATGCTAGCAAACAATTATGTTTCTATGTACCAGCTACTACACACACTTTATATATGACAGTACCACATTTCCACTGCACTAGCCAATAAATGAGTTCAATTCAGTCACTGTAAATCATTAGATTGTGACTGTTCCTTGTTTCATGGCTTCAGGCAAATAACCAGAGATACAGCAACAGAAATGTGAGTTCCCAGTTTTGGCAACTACTCAAAACAGTTTTTAGGACATTAGATGCTAACAGATCTATAAGGCTAATTTTAAGTGTGTATTGGAAATACATCCTGAAGAAGACTCACCCTCTGCAATATCATCACAAGTAACAGTTTTATAAATTCATAGACATTAAATTAATATGGAACAGTCTAAAAAAAAAAAAAAACCTCATTAAGAGGCATCCAGTCTCTTATAGGCTTCTTCAATGAAAGTTAACATATTCTTCATCTGGGGTGAATTATGGAGAACATCCAAGTCCTTCAGAAGAGCATTATGGTTTGGAATTAACGTCAGAATTTCTTTCTGTGGGTATAACAGAATTAGTTTAAAATTAAAAAAACAAATTGAGATATAATTGACATAGAACATTAATTTCAGGCATACAACACAATGATGTAGTATTTGTATATTCTGCAAAACGATCACCACAATGAGTCTAGTTAACAATTATCACCATACATAGCTACAAATTCTTCCTGTGATGTGAACTTCTAAGATTTACTCTCTTAGGAACTTTCAAATATACAGTACAGTATTATTGACTAGTTACTGTATTCTACATTATATCCTCACATTGATTTCATAACTGGAAGTTTATACTTTTTTTAAAAAAATTTTTTTTTCAACGTTTATTTATTTTGGGGACAGAGAGAGACAGAGCATGAACGGGGGAGGGGCAGAGAGAGAGGGAGACACAGAATCGGAAACAGGCTCCAGGCTCCGAGCCATCAGCCCAGAGCCTGACGCGGGGCTCGAACTCACGGACCGCGAGATCTGACCTGGCTGAAGTCGGACGCTCAACCGACTGCGCCACCCAGGCGCCCCTGGAAGTTTATACTTTTTGACCATATTCACCCATATAATTAGTTTTTAACCTTTTATTATAAGAAATGTCAATTATGTTAGAGAAAATGGTACAAAGCCTCATATATCCATCATCCAAACTTCAGTACTCATCAACTTATTTCTGCTCTTTCAAATTTGTATTATTCTGTTTTCCCTCTGCCCATTTCCTCTCCTTTCACCCTAAATGGATTATACATAAGCCTATTTTAAATTGTTATTTTTTAAAGTTTATTTATTTTGAGAGAGAGAGAGGGAATGAGCATGAGTGGGGAGGGGCAGAGAAAGAGGGAGAGAAAGAGTCCCAAGCAGGCTCCGCACTGACAGGGGGCTTGATCTCACAAATCATGAGATCATGAACCGAGCTGAAATCAAGAATTGGATGCTTAACCGGTGACTGAGTCACCCAGGTGCCCTATTATAAACATTTACACTATAATACCTACTGGGAACCTGTGAAGGCAGATACCAGCATATAGTCGGCTACAAATAACACAGCACTATTTTATGAAGAGTTATAGGCCATTTTTAGAAGCATAAACTCAACTATTGGAATTTACTTCCAGAAATCTATCCTACACTTATGACCACACAAATATGTAAAGATGTATGTATAAGGGTGTACTGAGCAAATAATTGCAAAGTCTTCATTTTAGTAATTCACAAATTATGGAATGGTATATTCATATAATGGGATGTTATAAAGCTATTGACAAGAATGAGACAGATCTACAAGATGCTCACAAAGAAATATGTTCAAACCATTTTGTCAAATGAGAAAAATAATGTTTACTAAAAACTTATGTATTTCATTTGTTTAAAAAAAAGAAAAGGATATTATGGTTTTATATATGCAATTCATAACTGGTGATATAGTTGATATGGTAAATTGGCATTTACCTGAAGTGTGGGAGCTTTGAGACTCTTCTGAGAAAGTTCTGGAAGACAGAGTACCCCACTATCTATCTGAAACATCTAAAGTTGAAAAAGAAAGCTACAGATTATTTCAAAAGGCTGATTTCTCTCTTCTTACATTCAAAAGTTGTCTTGGTGGAAGGTAAGCATTAAAAATTTTATCCACACTCTAGCAATACATTATTAAGCAATTACCTGTTTTACTTTCTCTTCCTCTTCTTCCACCTCACTTGTCAGAATTTGAATTTTGTTCTTTAGGCTGTGAATATTCCCAGTCATTGACTCTATGGTCTCTAGTATTTTATCTATTTCCTCCTGAGTCCGAAATAAAAAGTTAATATTTTAAACTGAATATATTATTAATTGAAACCCAAATAGGTATTAATATACATATACATATTTTTAAAAAATCTCATACAGTGAAACACTTTTGGAAGAAACCGGTATATTTCTTTTTTTTTCTTTCAAAAAGTAGACTTCCTAGAAACTAATTTACCAATATAATAATGCATTGTAAGGAAACTTAATTTCCCTGGAGCAAGGAGATCTATATACCCCATGTACAAGAGTATTTCCTCAAAAACTAGGCAAAACTGCTACAATCAGAGATCCTGGAAGATCCGTGCAAATGTGGCAGAGCCCCAGGACTGATGGCCTAAAAATCTGTGCTTTGCCTGTTCGTCTCTATCCCCACCACACAAACCTGGCAATCACTCATCTTTCTATTCTCCAGTTTTCCCACTTCTGGAGCACTCTCATGTTATATAGTTGCAGTAATACAGTATGTGTAGCCTTTTCAGTTTGGTTTCTTTTATAATATGCATTTAAGGTTCCTCCATGTCTCATTAGGGCTTAATAGCTCATTTCTTTTTAGTGGTGAATAATATTGTCTGATGTGCCACAGTTTATTTATCCATTTGCCTACTGAAGGACATCTTGGACTTTTCCAACTTTTGGCAATTATAAATAAAAGCTACCACAAACACCCATATGCAATATACCAAGGAGCGTGATTGCTGGATTGTGTGGTAAGAGTATGTTTCATTTTAAGACGCTGCCAAACCGTATTCCCAAGTGCTGTACCATTTAGCATTCCCACCAGCTAGAGTTCTGTTGCTCCACATCCTTGTCTGCATTTATTGTTTTCCATGTTCTAGATTCTGGTCATTATAATAAGTGCATATGAAGTCTCTTTTCATCTCTTGTTTTCCACTCCAATTTTTTTGGTTACTTCCAGTTTACTTGTACTAGAAACTAGAGAGTTTGCCTTCTAGCATTTGCTGGTCAAGTTTCACCTGTTCCTCAGCCCTGAATTTCCTGTGACTTGGCTTTTGGATTTTGAAGAGTGCTGTCCAATACCACTATATGTAAGGTGCATGTATTCCCTTCCTGCCATAACAAACACAAACTTGGTGGCTTAAAACAGAAATTTATTCTCTCACAGTTCTTGAAGGCAGATGTCCAAAGCAAGGTGTTGGCAGGGCAGATTCCAGATCCCTCTGGAATATCTAAGGGAGAATCCTCTCTTGGTTCTTCTGGCTTCTATGGCTACAGCACTCCAATTTCTGCATTTTTTTTTTTTTTTTCCCCACACAGACTTTTCCTCCAAGTCTCCGCATAAGGCCACTTTTGTCTCTTTACTAGACAACTGTCTTTGGATTGAGGGCCCACCCAAGATAATCCAGGATGATCTCGAGATCCTTAATTATATCTGGGAAGACTCTTTCCAAATAAGGTCACATTCGCAGGTTCCAGGGTTAGGACTTGGGCATCTTATTTTGGGGGCCACCATATGACCCAACCCAGAGGGAATGAATAACAGCACTGAATACAGAAAACAGTATTAATAGGACTACAAATTTCCATTGTAATTAAAAAATTATTTTGTTGCATCACTTTGGTTATCTTCTTCGGGTATTCCTACCCTACCTATGCCATATCTTCTTTGCTGAGCTCTTACATTTGTCACTTTTTCTCAATACCTTTAAAAATTTCCATGTTTCTTTTTGATTCTTAAAATTTTCTCTTTATTTTGTTTAAGTATTATCTGTTGTGTTTAATTCTCCTTCTAATTTAGTCTGTACACCTGAAAGGTTTCTTTCTTTTACTTTTAATTCTTCCCTGAATTCTGTAGCTGCAGTTTTTGGTATCTCTAATCCTGATTAATGATTTTTTCCATACCCTCTATAGTTTTTCTGAATTTCTTTGTTTGCTTGACAATTAGGTTAGTGTTCATCTGTTTTGTGAACACATGTTTTTGGTATGCTTTTGTTATCTGTGGATTATTTTTTGTCCTTATTTGTATATTTTCTTATGTTAACTTTGGTTGTGAAATTCTATGGTTCTGTTCTTATGCAGAGATCCACAGAGATTAAAACACTAAGGCCCAGCAGATCTTTTACCACCTTCTCAGAGTCACTCCAAGACTTTGCTGACTGCCTTTTCCCTAGTATCATCACGGAGTGAGAGAGCTCAATGAACACACTGTTGTTGCATGAATACAACTTGTTACTCATTAGCTGATACAGGTTTTGGAGAGTCACCATCAAGAATAACTCTAGGCTACAGTGGGGAAAAGCAGCAGTTCTAAGACACACAGCGGAAAACTGATGGATACAGACAAAACCTACAAACTCCTAGTTCAAAGGCTCTATTATATCAATGAAGAACTCTTATACCCAAAATGCCAACAGTGCTTCCATTGAGTAACTGAATATTAAGCAAGCAAAACTAGGACTGTTGTAATGTTGTGATATAAAAAATACGTATTTGGTCTTCATCCCTGGTTTCTGGCACAGAGCCTCTAAAATCCTTGTAATCTGCTGAGTGATTGGGGTGACAGCAGCATCTTTTCTATTCATAATAAGCCCCTTTCAACCTTACCTGAGTTTATGCTAATAATGAATGATTTAGAGAGGACAGAGTCTGGTTGCCAGAGCAACCCACCATGTCAGTACAGGGTTGGAACTTTTAGCCCCACTCCTCGATCTCCTGAGAAGGGGAAAGGGGCTGGATATTCAGTTATGCTCACGTGATGAAGGATCCATAAAAACTGTAAACACTGGGTTCAGAGAGCTTCTAGGTTAGCGAACACGTTGGGGTGCTGGGAGGGCAACACTCTTCCCCTATATCCTGCCCTATGTATCTCTTCCACTTAGCTGTTCTTGAATGTATCCTTTATAATGAACGGGTAATAGTAAGTAAAGTGACTTCCTGAATTCTGTAAGCTGTTCTAGCAAATTACTGAAAGTGAGGAGAGGGTCATGGCAATACCTGATTTGTACTTGGTTGGTCAGAAGTACAGGAGTGGATGGCAACTGTCATCTGAAGTGGGGGGCAGTCTTGTGAGACTGAGCCCTTAACCTGTGGGGTCTGTACTAATTTCAGGTAGTGTCAGAATTGAATGAAATTGTAGGACACCTAGTTGGTGTCTGCAGAGAACTGGAAAAGTGCTTCATGGAAAACCCACACATTTGGTGTCAGGGGTGCTGAGTACAGAGAAAACAGTTTTTTCCATTTAACTCTATTTACCCTTTTGGCATATGGAGGTCCAGTTTTTGCTGTAAAACAGAAATGCTTCCAAGTATTATAAAAATCACAGTATCATTTACGATGTTTGATCACTTTCAAGTGGTTTATGCAAATATTAAATGTTAAGATAACATTTGCCATCATTTACTTTAAAATCACCTTAAAAAAAAAAAGTCAAACTCACAAAAAAGAGTAACAAAGTGGTTAGCAGGGCCTGGGGGATGGAGGAAATGGGGAGAGGTTAGGAAAGTGTACAAATTTTCAGCTATAAGATGAATGAGGTGTGACGACCTAGTGTGAAACAAGGTGATTATAACTGACAACACTGTACTGTACACTTAAAATTTGCTGAGAGAACTTAAATGTTCTTACCACACACAAAATAAAAAAAATCATGTGAGGTGATGATGTGTGAATTTACCAGATGAGGGAATGCTTTCACAAAGTGTACATATATCAAGTCACTACAATGTACGCTTCAAATATCTTAAGATTATAGGCCTATAAAGCTGAAATAAAAAAAATAACCTGTATTAATGTCATCCAGGTGCTCATTACATGGTGGAACTATATCAGTAGTTAAAATATACTCTTAAAAAGTAGTAACAGTGGGATAAAAACTTGGCTATCATCTCACAACACGAAGGAAGTGGAGTTTCTATTTAAAACGTATATAATTCATTAATTTATAATATATGTAAATTATATACATTTCATTAATTTATAATATATGTAAATTTGTTGCTCAGAATCAAATCCATCCAATGTTGATTGTATGGAAAAACCAGAATAAAATGTGAATTCTGAATTATTAGAAATCCTTGGGCATGCACATTCCTTGCATCAACTACCACCCAAACTGTATTTTCTGAATTGCTAACAAAGACCTATGTGCCATTACCCACAAACTGCTCTGAAGTGGCTAAGGGATATAACGTCTAACTATTTAATAAACCCCCTAAGTTTGCTTTTCTTAAATGTTCAAATATTGACTAATTAAAAGTCTGAAGTTAATCATGATACCCAATGTTATCTCCCATTACCTTCTACAAGAAAATGATCAAGAATCAGAATTTGAAGTTGGGCTAAGGTCTACATCATAACTTGAAGCAGTATGTGTAAGTTTTAGCTAAAAGTATTGGATGTCTCTTTTTTCACATTTGTAAAATGAGATCACATGGCATAGACCTCTTTAAGTCATTTTTAGAATTAAGGGATATAAGTGCCTAGAGTAGTGCCTAGAACATAGAGAGCCCTCATTACATGTTAGCTATAATGATAATAAACAACAATAATAATGATGACCATGCTCTTCTTGTCAATAAGTACCATATACAGAATGGAAAAACTAATATAATGTTTTGAAATTCTATAGCATTTAGTGATGACCTCCTGTAATTTGATAATCCAAAATAGTAGTCCAGTTAAAGTCAGATAAAAAAAATAGAATTGCTAATCATTAATATATTAGAAGTACTTTTAACTTTAGAGGCCCAAAGTTTAGGCAAAGTTTTTGCTTTGACTAATAATAATAAAAATAATAATAATAATTTAATGAATTACTTGTTCTAATATCAGTATTCATTACTCAGAGAATATCATGATAATTAAAATAATTTCTTGTTTTCTTCCCCTTTCTCCTAACTCTAATTACGGACTCCCTGTTCAAATATCATACCTGCAATAATGCCAGACCTTCTTCATTAGCTCTGTGCTCTGCCCTTTCCATTTTCAGTAGACTTGACACATTAGTTAAATCTTTCAGCTTTTTGGGAGGGACTTTAAGATTTTCACACAGTTGTAGCAATCTTAGGGATAAAATAAAAACATAATTATATTTACTTTTTTAGTACCATTATTTTTGTTTTTTGTTCTGTTTGAAGTACTGTTGCCATCTCTTCTCTGACCTCATATTCTCAAGGGCTATAATATTCTTTTATTAACAGTGGCTAACATTAGCAGTGAGTCACCCATAAAAAGCCATGACACATCATCTTTAAACCTTTCAATTTATTAAGATTTATCTCAAATCATAGGGCACTTAAGCTGCTTCATGAAAGGAAAAAATTCTATTTTACATATTTAACAATTAATTGTATTATATACATTTATTTATACAATTTAATTTTTATACAATTTTATTTATACATATTTTAAAGTAAAACTTTCCTTGTATCTTCTGAAAGTGTTTCCTGGACTATTATAGCACATAATTCTATTGGTTATTGTGATTGTTGGATAAAAGATGGAACACTACTCTGTAAGTCATAATTATGACCCTGGATGCTATTTCAGTTGTCTCAGACAATGTGACCAATGAAAAAGAACTTCTATATCAGTTACTCTAACAATGGCTTTGAAGATAAGTGAGTGCCATAGAGTTTAAGGCAAATAAAACATGAAGATTAAAGTGCTTTGTTCAGAGGCGCCTGGGTGGTTCAATTGGTTAAGTGTCTGACTTTGGCTCAGGTCATGATCTTGTGTTTCATGAGTTCGAGCCCAGTGTTACACTCTGTGCTGACAGCTCAGAGCCTGGAGCCTGCTCTGGATTCTGTGTCTCCTTCTCTCTGACCCTCTCCCGCTCTGTCTCTCTTTCTCTCAAAAATAAATAAACATTCAAAAAATAGAGTGCTTTGTCAAAAGTACTATCATCATAAATACTATTCAATATTAAAGTTAAGAAATCCTTTCTAAATATATAATAAAGGAAAAAATTAAAGAACAAATTAAAAACAAAAAGATAAAAAAACAAATTAAAAACAGAAAAAAAATTAACAAAACAAGGCTAAGAAAGCCTCCTTCAAACCAGGTTGATTAGATCACCAATAGAAACTAACCTATTACTATCCTCACTTGTAGCAGGGAGCAATACAGCTTTCCTAGATTTGATTCTTGAATTCGAGGAAGAAATCAAGGAGGAAAATCTAAATTTGGTTGCTTTTACCTAGCAGCAGCATTTTGGCATTCTCCAAAACCCTACAACTTAAGATTTGTAGGGTTTTAACAAGAGTGGAAACCAAAACTCATCTTCCAAAAAATACCAGATAAGAACAGTAAACTGTTAACTTCGAATTGCTCAACATGAAGGGAGTTAAAATTGACAAAATATTTTTTCAAATCCCAATACAAAACAATGAACTGTAGAAGTAGGCATTTTGTGATTTTCAGACTCTTTTCTTAATAAATTCTCTTAACTTCAGAATTGCATGCAGCAGCAGTTTAGAATATACATTTCCAAATTGTTCATCTTCTTAAAACAATAGAAGCAACAACAACAATGAAAACCCAGTATGAAAGAAAAACTTTATATCCCACAAATGTCTGTTCTGATAACATAGGAACAGATGAGATTTTTACTAATTATGTTCTAACAATTTTCTATTGCATAACTATATTACCTTTTCTTTAGATAGTTAAGATGATACTGAACTTGTTCATGTTCTCTAATATTGTTACTCAAAATCGTTCTGGAAAAGAAAAAACATATTGAATAAGTAGTAGTTTGAAATACAACTAATACAATGTTTACTTTTTTCTCTCTGATTTCTTTCATGTGTCTCTTACTAGCCAGGAAGAATCAATCACTTTTTATTTTATGTTAAATACATTTTAAGCACAGATAGAATCAAAATTCTTTTTATTACATTTTATTATTGTAATTAATTTAGATGAGTTCAGTTTCTTGATGGCAGAATCCATCTTTATATCCCCTTTAGCACGATGGTAGCTTACGTATAGTGCCAATTCAACTCAACTTCTTCCTAAATATCCCTAGTGAGGGAACAACTTTAAAGTTTACAAATAGCAAGTTATGCCACATAGGCTTTGTTTTTCTTTCTTTGATGGAATGATAAGCTTCTGAAATTAATAAAGACTTCTTGCTTAAGGCTAATAGCATCACAAGACATTACGTGTATCTTCTTCTGAAAGAGAAAAATACCCTACCACCATAAAACAAATAATGACAGTTAAAAGGATACCGTTTGTAGGAAACATATGAGTACAAATCAGGAGTGAAAAAATTTCATACTTACATTATTACTGATTCCATCATAGCTTGTAAATGCTCTCTGCTCCTCTTTGAAAGAGGCTGCCAGGTTTTTCTCTTGTTGAATGCTACCTTTACCCGTTTTAGATTAGTATGCTCTGTTTGTCCTGTTACTGGTGAGAGAAGAGACTCTGGTCAATCTCAAAGTTTTATGTTTTTACTTAGGAAGAGTTTCAAGTATAAATTTACTTTAAAAAGCTAATAGAATTACAAGAACCAAAATATTATAAAACTGCAGGAATCGTTTAACTTCTTTTTTATTACACAGCCATAATGTCAAGTGTCAAATATGAATATGCTGTCTATTATTATGTTAGCTAAAATATTAGTAGCTGACATTGCAGATACAAACCCAAGACAATTCTAAATGAAGAACCAGGCTACACTTATTAGGATTCAATATAAAAGTCTGGTTCCCAGAAATGATATAAATTAAAGAGCTTCATTGAGAAGACTAGAAAGCTATTTCTACCAAATGTTGAATGGCAACTGGAACAAAATATTCAGGGTCTCCTAGGTTGTTGATGTTGTTCTACTTATAAGGGATAAACAAAGGAGATATGCTACTGGCTCCTCTGAAGATTAGTTCTGGAGAGAAGGGAGATAAAATAATTATAATTAGAAGTATGCAAAGCATTACAAAAGAAAAAGTTCTATGTACTATGTGCACTACACTAATATAAAACCAGAGGACCTAGCTTGGTCTTGGTGAGAAGACGGAGGGAATTCTTCAAAGAAGTGATGCTTAAGTAAAGATGACTGCTCCAAACTAATTTACTCCAAACAAAATTGGACAGTAGCTCCAAACTAATCTATACAATGGTGGTAGGACAGAAGCGTATCTGTTTTAAAGAGAAATCAGTAGAGAAATCATGTGTCTCCATGTCACAAATCAGTAATAATTCAGACTATGGGACACTGGTTTTTTTCTAGTTCCTATCAATTTAGAATCCTACACAATATTTTGCTAGAGGTGGTAAGTAAAATTTCAGTTGAAGAAAATAACTAACAAGTACTACTTATTCTTGCAAAAATGAGAATGCAGCTGTTTATCACTATCTTTTCCAGAACTCATAAACAAGATGCTGAGAATTTTTTCATGAATACAGATAGTATTGAGACCGACAGACAAGTTAAATAAGCTAGAGAAAATAAATACCTTCAGAAGGCAGATGCTTTGGATTTTTATTTTTTGCTGTGTTTCTAACCTAAAGGAAAAAACACATGCACACATAATTAAGCATCAGGTAAAAAGATAGCGTTTTTGATATATATTTGTCATGTACGTCGAAGAGTATCCATATATCTTCCGACAAGATGGAAAAAAGTAGATTGCCACTTCTGCAGAACAAGAGTGTGTATTTATCACAGGCAGCAGATATACTAAAGCAATTCCTGGACAATGGTGATAATGTACAGCAGAATTCCATACAATGTCAAAGAATGTTTTAAAGAAATTGTTAGTCATTTTGCCTGTGAAATAGTGTTATATACTTCACCTACAAAAAAACATAGGGAAAAACACATTTTTAAAATTATTTTATAATAAAAATTTTGGAAGAGAGGGGCACAATGATGGTAGACAGAAGCTAATTTCTCCCAAAGTAATTTTTCTCTATGATAATAAATATATCTTCTCCTAACTCACAGATTTTCCTTTTAACATAGAATCTCTATACACTTTATTCCTAGTCTTCACATTTAAACCTTAGCAATGCCCCATTACCCCTTCCTGAAAATAATTCTCTGATCAGTATCTTTGGAAATTGAAATACATAATTTTCATCTGAGAACTTTTACAAATCATATTGCAATAGCTCCTACATAATATGAATTACTACAATTTGTAGTAAAACTGCCCTTTAGTCTTCACATATTCCTTCACATAGAACAGATGATATTTTCAATCACAAAGTTCTAAATGATAAACTCAGTATTTTCATTACCTTTCTCTCTGGTAACTCCACTTCTTCATCATCAGTTTTTCGTTTTGGGTTTTTTTTTAACTGTTGAGGTCTTTTCTTGGAAGCCCCTGCTTTGTTAGACATCTTGATTAAACAGAACAATCATAACAAAAAGTCTGGAAAGATAAAAGGACACAGAAAAGCTTAAGCCTGCATAACAAATTTTGTTAAAAAGAGCTACTATACATGTTCCAAATTTGCTTTAAAAAAATCGTAATGAAAGTTTTCGGACAGTATTGTTTTTAGAACATTTAAGCATATTTCAAAACAAACATCAGTTATTATTAAAGTAAGTGTGTCTAATTCAATTTCATTCTTAAAAATATCTTCCATTTTTATGGCTTTACAAAATTATGTGAAAATGCTTTTGCATTTCTTACTTTATACTTCCTCAATACAGTAACATTATCTCCATGTTTAGATCCAAGAAAATGGAAATATAAGGTATTAAATTGTCTTACTCTAGTCACAGATATTCTCCATTCTCCTTATGAAAGGAGATAATCTTTAGGATCATATTATGAATCTATGTTGTGGAAATTCAGGTGGAAAATTCACTCATAAGGATTTAAGCTCTAACTCTGCTTGGGCTATTTGCATTTTAAAAAAGCACAGAAGTATACTGATTACCCTGTCCTCCCACAAATTACAAACAGGCACAGAAGTGGATGAAGATGTCAATGACAACATTTAGAATGACTCCTTTTCCCTATCTACTAACTAGTAAGTCACCAAACTTTTCACTGTTAAAAGGAACAGAGGAATAGGATGTTTATTCTTGCATTAGACCATAAGGAGTAGGTAGCTTAGAAGTTAGGTACAGTATACATGGAGGGGTGTGTGAATGTGTTTGCAGACATAGCTGGGAGATATTGCAGGTTCTGTTCTAGACCACTGCAATAAAATGAATACTGCAATAAAGTGAGTCAAATGAAATTTTTGGTTTCATTTGCATGTAAAAGTTATGTTTACATTATACTGTAGTCTAGTAAGTGTGCAATAACATTATGTCTAAAAAAACAACCAATGTACATACCTTAATTAAAACATACTTTATGGCTGAAAAATGCTAACCATCATCTGAACATTCAGCAAGTCAATCACTGATCACCATAACAAATATCATAATAGTGGAAAAGTTTGAAATATTCCAAGAATTCCCAAAATGTAACAGAGACAGGAAGCGAGCAAATGTTGTTGGAAAAATGGAGTCAAAAGACTTGCTGATGCAGGATTGCAACAAACCTTCAATCTGTAAAGAACACGGTATCTGTGAAGTATGATAAAATGAGGTATACATATATGTGTGTGTATACATTACATATATATGTTTTCTAGGCATATACAGTTAGATATGTATCAGTCACCATTTAAAATTTTAGAGTTTAAATATATACGGAGATTGAGAGATAATAAAGGAGGTACTTCGGATAAATCTATTTCTTCAAATTTTAAAAGGTGAAGTTTCAAGATTTTTTCAGTAAGATTAACACAAATAGTGAGACATAATTAATTGAACAATCACCAACTACACTTAAGGACTACTTGTAAGATCATTGACAAAAAGCCGTGAAAGTTAAAATACACTTTACCCTGCTCTTGAACAATGTGGTGCTTTACACCTAGTCTCTCGTGTTATATTCCTGAGATGCCCGATTTTCTCAACTTGTCATCCATGCCCTTATACTTCCCCTACTTAAAAAAGCCAAACCACATGAGAGTTTCACTTGTGGACCTCTCCTGGAAGGCTGCCATATATACAGCAGTACAGGTTGTTCACTGAAGAGTATCTGGGCGAGGCAGCAAAAGAGGGCTGGAATTTAGTACTCACTTCATCCGATAGGTTAAAAATGGTGCAAATTCCTTCTCACTCCAATTATTGAGAGATGGAGTCTATGTTCCCTTATCTTAAATCCTGGCATTCTACTGTTTGAACAGTAGAATACGGTGGAAATGATTCTGTACCAGTTTCCTGGCCTAAACATGGAAAGAATCACAGCTTCAACTTCATCATGTTTAGGATATTTGGTCTAGGAGCCCAGCTACCATGCTATAAGGAAGGCTAACTTGGAGAGGAACTGAAGCCCCAGGCAAAATCCCCAGCTGAACTCCCAAAAAGCAGCCAGCACCAACTTGCCAGCCTGGCATGTACCTGAGCCACAATCAATATGCCGCAGCTGATCCTGTATGGAAAAGATATGAGTCAGTCCTACCAAGTTGTTTCTGATCCCAAATTCTGGAACAAAATAAATTATTATCTCAAGTTAAAAAAAAAAAATAAAAAAATCCTTCCCCAATACCTAGCATACAACACCCAAACTCTTTACCATGCCATTTACAGTCCTGAACAATCTAGCCCTGCCTAGTTCCATATTTTTCTCCCACTACTCCTTGTAAGACTCTCTCTCTCTCTCTCTCTCTCTCTAGTACATTTGAGGATTTCCTGAACACACTTTGAGTATGCATGCACTATGCCCTCTACCTGAGCTGCTCGCTTGCCTCCGTCCACCCTCCCAGAGCATGAACCACCTGTTCTCCATGCCTCCTAACCACACCACTCCACTCTAAAAGTCTGTGGGCTCTTATGGTCTCTAACTTTCAGCTGGCACTTATGTATAGTTTGGTTCTGCTTATCAATTTTTCTTGATATTCTTTATTCAAGAACATATAATTTACTGCTACTCCAAATTTAACTCACAAACTGTGACAGTCCTTTTAAATATAGAAAATGACAGTATCCCTTTAGAAACTTTTATTGCAATTTTGCAACAATTTTATGTATACTGAACTTGACTATAAAATAATTGGCTGTTTTTTTCTTTTTAAATGTCATTTTTCCAGTAATTTATTAAAAACAAACAAACAAACAAACACCACTTTCTTTTTTAGAGACGTTTTAGGTTCACAGCAAAATTAAGCAGCAAGTATGTAGAGTACCCATATACCCTCTGTAACCACTCACTACCCCCAGCCTCTTCCACTACCAACTTCCCACACCTGAGTGGTACATTTGCTACAATTCATGAACTTCCACTGATACATCATATCACCCAAAGTTTACTAGTGTTCATTCTTGGTGTTATATACTCTACGGGTTTGACTAGTAATTAATTTTGGGTTGTACTGTACAAAAGAATCAGTTGTGACAGATTAAAAGTAAATAAATAAATAAATAAAAGTTGGTCTTTGACTACCGGCAAGAGGAGATGCACCATTTTCATCGATACCTATTTGAGGCACTAAACCATAGCGCAATAAGTTTCTCAACCTCCGCACTATCAACATTTTGGATGGGGTAACTCTTTGTTGTGGGGGATGCATTGTAAGATGTTTAGCAGCAGTTATGGTCTCTAGTTGCAAGCACCCTCTCTTTGCAGCCCCTCAGGTTGTGACAACTAAAACTGTCCCCTGGTGGGAATGGACATCAGATTGAGAACCACTGCCAAGAGCAAGTCAGGGATAAGGATAAATGGCCTAGTTCCCAATCTCAACTCTGCCATTTAACTAGCTGTACAATTTTAGGCAAGTAAAGTTGTTCAATTTCCCTACTGGTAAAATGGGTTAAAGTTAAAAAGCACCAACATTAAAGGTTTTTGTGAAGCTAAAATTTTGTACAGAATACGTAAAATGCTTAGAACATAGTAAGAATTCAATAAAGAACTGTCATAATTTTCTATCACTTTTGGGCTAATTGTAAAGGAACTAGAATAGAAATTTTAATATAAATGTAAAAGGAATAGAAATTTTGCCGTTTTAGATCCACAGGAAACCACAGCCTAGCGGTAGTGGGTAGAGACAGATATGAAAACAATTGCTATATAAAATTACATACCATGTGAAAAAGCTAGAAAAGACAAATAAATGAATGACTCGAAATGATGTGTGTGGGGGTGGGGGAAGAATGCTACATGCTATGCAGAAAAAAAAAAGTAACATGTGAATTACATTTTGAAATATTTAGCCAGAAGGACCAGGAATGAAGTATTTGAGAGAAAACAGCAAAAGCCTGATGGCAGAACAGTTTAAAAGAAACTGGTCTGTTCAGGGACAGGGAAAATTCAGCGATATTTTAATGTGTATGGGAGTAATGGACAGAAATAAGACTGAGTAATGGGACAGAAATAAGACTGGAACGGTGGTTTGCGGCCAGACACTATACTGCAGTAAAGAATTTACCCTTACTCTGTAGGAAACAGGGTGACCTCCTACGCTGTCCTGTTTTCCTTATCGGTTTGCTGAAATTCGTGGAAACCAACTCTCTCAGCCTAGGGCTCTATATAGGCACACAGGGCGAGCGCCAAGTCTGGCAAAACACAAAAATACTCTATGTTTACCTCCTGACAAATGCCTCGGGATAGCAACGCTGCCGACGGAAGTTACCTTAGTACCCAAAGATACTAATCTCTAGAGCTGCACTTCGCCCCAAGATGGGCCGCAGGATATTATGGAAAACGAACGAGGAGGCGGATGAATTGGGGAAAGGAGGAACTGAGGCGCCAGGCGTGGCTTCACTCCGGCCTCGCAAGTCAAACAGTTCAATCCTGGCCCCAAAAGTGATTTCCCTCTCACTGGAAAATCATCTCACGCTCCCGAAATACAAGCCGCGGAGACTGCCATAATCGCACTGGCCACAAAACTCATTCCGCAAGCTGGACGCACCCGTCGATAAAAAGCGTTCATTACTCACCAAAGGTACCTATTGAATGCTCCAGGAGGCCAAACTCTGAGCAATTGGCGCCAAAACCGTTAAAAGTCAACAAGGCCCGGAAGTGGGCGGGTAGAAACCGGAAACTGGGGAGTAGAGAGGCGAGCATTCTAGCCCCCCTCTAACGTCATCAGAGGCGCGCCCACGGGAGCGCGACGAGATTGGCTGCAGGGAGGGCGGTGTCCGCCTACACCCCCTGACTCCTCCAGCTGACTTTTGCGCAAGCTCCGTGAGGGGCTCAGCTGTGTGGATCTCTGACTTCTAGGGCTGGGTCTTCCGAAGCCCAGCCGCCGTCTCTCACAGCCGAGGTCTGAGACAGGCAGGCCGTGAGTAAGACTGTGTATTTAGGGATGTCACCTTTCACTGCCCTCCATTCTTC